GGCCCCGCACCCCGCTCAGCCCCGCCCCGGCCCCGCGCCCAGGGTGACCCCGGGCTCACCAGGGGTGGGTGTAGCCCCGGGGGGCCCCCGAGGTGGGCCCAAAACTGCATTTTTGCAGTTATTTTTGCCGTTTGGCCCAGGGGGTGCAGGCTGCCGCTGCGCACCCCCCTGTATTTTTTTATTTTTTTTTTTGAATTTTTTTTTTTTTTTTTCTTGGGGGGCGGTCCGGAGCCGGGGTCAGGGGTGCCCAACCCCGGACCCCCGGACCCCCGCCGGGGCCCCGGGTCCGGGGCTCGACAACCCTGGACAAAATGCTATGTAAGTTTAAACTTGAAGTTGAAATTTAAAGAAGTCTATTATTATACATTCCAATGATTCTGTGACCATGCTTCAAGGGAAAAGGACGAATAAACCGAAAGAACGAAGGGAAAACGGGGCATTTCTTTTGCAGGTATTTAGTTAGAGTGGTAGACTTACCGTTTGTGTAACCCACACTCGCCAGTTGCTACCATCTTCCCCTCGAACACAACGCACATTGATCTCCAAGGTCTACAAGCTATCTTTCCGGCCTGATACTGGGTCCGTCGTGCTTAGGAGAAGGCAGTGCCTCCTTGATGTTCTCATTATTCTGTGGTGCATTACGTATGTACCTTACTGCCCTGCTTCACGGGCGCAGAGGTCGTTCTGCTTTCTAGTGCTGCTTGTCACGCACAGTTTCTTTCTTTGCTCCTTTTCTTTAGAAATGAAATGGACCAAATGTGACCTTAATGGTCAATAAATCCAGTTGCTTTTCGACCGGCAAGCCAAAATCAATACCAACATAGTCACAGATGCATGTCTCATTGTCTCCCCATCGAGGCTGGGAGATTGGGAGCCCTTACCACCCTACTCGTTTCCGTTGTGAACAATCTTATGCCCCCGCTTACCATCAATGCGCTGTTAGGGTTTAGGGTTTAGGGTTTACAGTTGGACTTTGGACCACTGGGTTAGGATTTTGGGTGCAGGGTTTCAGGGTTTAAGATCTAGGGTTTAGGGTTTAGGGTTTACGGTTTAGGATGTCAGGGTATAGGGGTTAGGGTTTCAGGGTTTCAGGTTTTATGGTTTAGACCTAGGGTTAGGGTTAGGGTGAGGGTTAGGGTTAGGGTTGGTTTTGGGCTCTGTATCACCTTATTAATTTGATGGTGTTGTAAAAGATGGCAGTGTTGTCAAATGTGGAGGGGTAAAAGTGACACTTTTTGGGAAGCCCCATGAAGAGATAAAATTAGAAGCCTATATATTCACTGTCCTGACTCCTCCTGTGGGAAATGGAGCTGTTTGCAATATAGGGAGCATCTCTGGTGTTGTTTGAAATGGGGAGAATCTATTCCCTTGGCAACCATTGGGCTCAAGCACTTCAAACCCTACATTGAAAACAGCTCTGTTACCCTCACTAAGCCCAGTGTTTGACCTCCTTGTTGTCTCCTTGGGGAAAGAGATCCATTATCTCGTTCCAAACCACGAGGACAGCTACGGGGGGACGACAAGGCAGGTCTCCCCACTCACCTGCTTACTCTGCTTGCTGTGCGCATTGGAAGTCATTTCCATATCTTCTTATCGTGGAGTTCATCAAAGACCACTGATGGGAATCACCGTCTTGAGCCAAGCAAATAGTTGATATTTGATATTTCTAGCCCTGTTTTGCACAATAGTTAAGGCTGTTTGTTAGAATGTGTAATGAACCCAGTCAGGAGGAAACTCGTCAAGTGTCGAAATACAAGATAACTCAGCGCTGATAAATGTCTCTGATAATCATGAAATGTGATCTGTAATACAATGTCTCGTAACCATAGGACGAAGTAGATAGGAGGGAGAATAGACTTAGAGGGTGGAAGAGAAACTATCAATCAATGTCCACGTAGATAGAACTCCCTCAATCCCCACTTCTTCTTCGGGCGTCTCCTCACATCCACGTCAGCAAACAGTGTCCCAGAAATGAGCCTGACGAGGTTTGAGCTATACTGCTTCCTTACTCTATACTCTATCGTACTTTACTGTCTTCTCTCTTCTCTCTGTCCGTTCATCTGCTTGCCCAGCAATGCCTCAGAGGCTGATCACGTTATGTGTGTGCATCACCCATCATCAGGTAAGTCCCACTTTTCCCGCAGCTGTCCTCTTCCCATCGGACTCCCAAACACCAGCGTTGCCTCCTATTGAACCATCAGGCGCAGCTATGGCTGCCACTGGCTAGGCCGCTCTGCCTCACCGGCCCCTTCTCCGTCCTTGTCGTCAACGTTCTCTCCTGGCTGTTGTGGCTGCACTAATTTTCACGCTGCCTGGCCAGAAACTTGTGCACCGAAGGAATGTCCCTCAGCAGCGGCCTGCAGTGCTTTTGTCAAAGAAACGAGGCCACATTTGCGTCATCGGGCTTAACCTCCTTGCTGAAAAGTTGCCGGACAATGTGTGCCACTTCCATAGGCCCAGCAGTTACTTTTGCTGCCGGCGGTTACTTTTACAGCCCAGCCTTCAATTGGGGTCGTGTCCCTTGTTTGGTGCAGTCAGCCCCTGCTGGGCGCCGACGAGGCTTGGAGGCTCGCACCTCTCTGCACATGTCCGGAAAGCGTCTCTGACGCTGGACCATCACGTCATGGATAACGCCATCGTGCCTGCCCCAGAGAGAGAGAGAGAGAGAGAGAGAGAGAGAGAGAGAGAGAGAGAGAGAGAGAGAG